CAGCAGCAGCAGCAGTATCAAGTGACGAGCACGTCACTTACCACCTCACTTTCTTTACAAACTTTGAAAATGGCAAATGCTAAGGCTTAGCAATTCGGCAGCGACACGTGCTGTCCCGTCAATTGCAATCGGCCACAGAGCACACTGCCTTCACTGCACCGGACATATCGCAGCACTTCCAGAGCAGTGCCAGACGGTCAGGGGAGGAAACACGTGCCCAGGGACTGCTGGCCCACCATCACCATCACCTAAAAACAATCACAGCCACTCGCTTGCCATCAGTTCAGCTGCATTTTTTGTGCTGATCCTCGCAGTTCTACTCTCTTGCACCTACCTTGTCTTGACCCTTGTCAAACTACTCAGCTGAGCCTNCACGTGCCCAGGGACTGCTGGCCCACCATCACCATCACCTAAAAACAATCACAGCCACTCGCTTGCCATCAGTTCAGCTGCATTTTTTGTGCTGATCCTTGCAGTTCTACTCTCTTGCACCTACCTTGTCTTGACCCTTGTCAAACTACTCAGCTGAGCCGTTGACTGCTGTGTCGCAACTTGGACCCACGAATTAGATTCTACAAAAGCAACTTTTTATAAGCTCCCAACTGCCGGGAACTAACTGCCTTAGTGCTGAATGATACCCTAAAGTTCTCTAGGTATTTGGTGCAATTTGTTAGGCAAAGAATAATAACAGCTTCCGCTCTTCACGTTTGTAGCAAAAAGGATTATCGTTTGGGCAGTTCAGTGGGTGGACAGTACGCTAAGCACTGAAGCCTGCGGCTGAAACCTAGTGTAGTATGTGGTAGTTGTTGTGCTACCACCACTGAAACACTAAACCCTTTAACGCTGTAGGCCATCAGAAAGACTGCTGCTGCTGCTGCGACTTCTGCTGCTCTCATCAAAGCGAAGCATGCGTCAGTGAGAGCGTCGGCCTGTCAACTGAACTGGCAGTAATCGCCCCTTCAAAAAGACAACCATTTGGTGTTGGAAAATTCTCACGTGTGCCTTGTTCGACTAACAAGATCGACTGTCTGACTACAACAAAAACTGTTCAATCGAATTGATTGACACCGCCAAGGAAAACTCTAGCCGAGTTGCCCTATCGAACCAAATCCTATTTGTGACAAAAGGGCACACCGAGTGCCCACTGTCTCGGGTCCTCTCTGCTTCTGCTGCTGATAGTGAACCCAAAGTGGTGGCAGTTGTAGAGCCACCAGGCACTGAAATGGATAGATAAATAGAGCCTGTTTTGACAAAGCTGAGAGACTAAAGTAAATTAAATTGTCAAAACTAAGCGGCCAGAAGGAGAGAGAACGACAACAGATGACAATCCAATCAGATGGTGGAACAAACAGAAGAGCAGAGCAGAGCAGGACAAGACCAGTTCAGATACACAACTCGGCTCTCTCTCTCTCTTGGCACAAGTCACTTGTCACTGAGAAAACACAACACCGCCAAACATCGGCTAATCGGCGCCACTCGACTGTTGACTACTCTGTTCAGGAAAAAAAGTCTGCCCGGGTAACAAGTCTGCCCGGACAGAGTGAAACGGAAAACATGCCGTTCGGGAAAGGACATAATTGCGAAGGAGCGATAATTTAGTTATCATTCGACAAGGTGACTCACTAGAGATGAAGTGCATCACGGGTGCAGCAGTGAATAGACCAACTAACTCAGCACTGAAGGGAACCCCTTCACTGCCCGGCTAATTTAATTGGCCTAAAGGCAAAGTGGCGCTAAACTCAGCACTGTAGGCTGTTCGGCTCGGGTTGCATCTGTCCCGTCGAGCCCTAAGTCCAAAGAACAGTTTGACTTGGGGCTCGACGTAGAGGCTTTTGACTCGGGTTCGGCGAGTTCTGCACACTTCAAACTTTCATCTGTGAGTTGAGGTGAACTTCGGGAAGTCAGTCATGTTTGTTGTTTGTCGTGTTTAGCAAATTTCCGCTAGAGCGATGGCAAACATGACAGTCATCAGCAAGTTGATCGGTCCATCAGCAGAAGCAGAAACGCTCTACCCTCTGCCAATCGATTTCGGTAGAGGGTTGCTCACATCACTGGCTGTGTGCATCCTCTTCGTTGACTCTTTCGCTTTCATTTCCGTCAATGCAGTCGGAAATTAAGAGGAACACTAGTTTAAATTGAAATAATTACATGTCAGAAAGGACACACGGCAGAACACATCTTAGACATTTACTTGTGTGTGTGTGGCTTGTTTGCACGCTTGTACGCCTTAGCCGACGACAACTATCACCTTGTCTCATCTGCAGTACGATAAGTGAATTAGCCATTCAAATGCAGCTAATTACATGGCACTGCACCAACAGGGAACCTCGGAAAAAACTGGCTGGCAAACTCATTCATCCTGGCATTTGACAGACTGCTGCTGAATCACTGAATTCATAATCAACTTAGTCCTAGCAGTTGAGCGTTTAATTAAAATTTAAAACTCAATTCTAAAGTGACTAAACTTTACTGTCTGTCATGAATGCATTGCATTCTGGTAGATAGATACTCACATAGGTTGTAATGTTATTCATAGAGCAGTCAATTCAAAATTTACGGCATTTCAATTAGAATGCCCATCTCTAAGCTAATGGAACAATTTAAAATCCAAGTCGGTCAATCCATGCTATCGATCACGACGTGACCAATGGGACCAATTGTGCGACGACAAAGCTAGGCAAACCGGGCAGGGTACAAATCAGTGCAGTTGTTGCAGCAACGTCGAGCAATAAAATTTAAACTTAAACCAAAAACGCGAAAAAAATCTGGCAAGTTAAATCTCAAATTTGTCATCTTTGTAATTCTCAACTCGCCACTGCCGCTACTGGCAAAGGCAGGCAAAGCAGGCGCCATCGCATATATGGCCTCAAATTAAAAGGCCTAATTCCGCATGATGCATTAGGGCATATTTAAATGCGCCGACAGACCACCACTGCCGCCGCCGGAATGGGAAGAAAGATGAGCACCAGCACTGATGCCAACTACCCAGCAGCCAGCCCCTACTAGACATACCGTCCCTGGGGAAATAAGCACTAGCACACCATTNGCAGGCAAAGCAGGCGCCATCGCATATATGGCCTCAAATTAAAAGGCCTAATTCCGCATGATGCATTAGGGCATATTTAAATGCGCCGACAGACCACCACTGCCGCCGCCGGAATGGGGAGAAAGATGAGCACCAGCACTGATGCCAACTACCCAGCAGCCAGCCCCTACTAGACATACCGTCCCTGGGGAAATAAGCACTAGCACACCATCACCAGCTCGCAGCAGACCATAGCTGAGAAGGCGGCAAATTAAAAATAAATAAATACACATTGAGAAGAGGATTCCCTTGGACTGATGCTGCTGATGCTGTTGAGCCAACCAGCCAACGAGAGAAGCCCACACAGGCTTTCTAAGGAGAAAGGGACTTCTGGAGACACATCGTTGCCTCGCCGTCACTATCCTTCCGATCTGCATTGCCAATTTGTGCAAATATTCTGCACTTAATTCCGAATTCGTCTTTTGATTCAGTAAAATATGTTTAAAAAGAATTGAAGCGCAAATCTATCTAGCTTAGCTGTGTGCGCCCAGTGCGTCTCGGTGCAAGTGTCAATGGATGTGGCGGACAACTGCCTGCATATAAATAACTTTATTAAGGCACATCCCCGAATATGGCCGATTGCGCGCGCGGCACGCCACTGCAGCTTACTGCCTCTCACTGCAAATTGGACATTTCTCCTGGCTACGGCCAACGATGCAGACAGACCAATGCTGGCACTGGCAAATTCAAGATTTAGATCCCTTGAAAATGGCCATGTGCTCTTCGACTACAACAAAGAAGGCAAGGGTCTCTGGCTGCCACTGGTCGCCTGTCTATCTAGGTAAACAGCTGCAGATTGCTGGGGCGAAGGCGCGATCAATGCCTCAGACGTGTGCTCCTCCTGGACACTGGACAGCAGCTGTAGTGTTTAGCTAATTAACTGCTACGATAAAAGCATAATCAGTGGCAGGGGCACAATTGACGCTGTGTCAATATTGACTTGCAATGTTCTCCATTGAGTCAGTACATCAACACCAAAGGTGCTGTGATTGTGTGAGCAGTGTGTCAGTGAAGGAAGCATTGGCTAGAGAATATCACCAGACTCGTGCCACAAATTGAACACATTTAAGAACCACATATATTTTCTATTTGGGAAATATTGTAAAATGACTGTTTATACATAAAAGAGAGAGCGAATTTATCGCATGTATGTACAATTCGTTTAAAATGAAGGTGCAAATTAAAAAAAGAATATTTCGATAAAGTGTACAGTGTAGAAAAGCAAATTATTTTTTATACAAAATGATTAATTAACAAATCAGATTTGTCCGTATAAATGATAGCACCGAGTTGTTGAGAAATGCCAATAAAACATAAATACCAGGTATATTTTAAATGTGGGTGAATGGATAAAACCGTCCTTGTTTATTTATACATTTTGAAAATTTGCAAAACTCGTTGAACGCGATCTTTTCCCTTTTGAGTCATGACATCCTAAAAAATTAAAACAATTTAAGTACGTATTTTCTTGCATTAAATGTAACCCCATTGAAAACTTACTGCAAGATGAGCAAAGTCGCGAAGTTTTTCGAGAATTTCAATAAGCGGGTCAAATGAATTGTTCGGAAGTGAATCCTTCAGTGTGTGCATGTAATCATCATTGTCTTGAATGCAACAGCCAAACAAAAGACAAACACAAGCTGCCAGAAGGCTGTGCTCCATGTGGGTGCCTGATTTGCTGATCACTGTACAGATGGTAATTACATTGCATTAGCAAACCAAACTAAACTGCCTTACTAAAAGGTCAAAAACTTACTTTGTGTCAGCAGATTGTCTTGCATTGCTTCAGTCATCGGTACAGTTTCGTGTGATTCCAAGAGATGATCAGTTTGTTGCTCCACCTGAGCGGCTTCTTCAATTTTCTTGAAAAGAAATTCACTCAATCGAGTCATGTTATCCTCTGATGTCATGACGATTTCTCGTATGTGCTCACAAAACTCTACCAGGTTAACGCAAAGGCACAAAATTATCACCATCAAGTCAAATCGTTGATCAATAATGATAATGTTGGGTAGCTCGAAAAAAGATTCCAGTAAAAGATCGAATATTCCAGTGAATGAGCCGACTACTTTGCAGCCATCAACTAAAGAAATAATTAAAAATAATAAATGCTTTAGAAAAATTGCAATGAATAAATGAGACATACCACTTTCTGATGTCAAGTTTGTGAACACGCGAAGAATGGAGAAAAATGCAGTCAGGTAAACTTTGGAATCCTTTGAGCTGATAATTTTGCTTTTGCAGTTTTCAAGCAGTTTGATGCACGCCAAAATAAATTTACTTTCGCTGTAACTAGTTATGTACAGTTGATTCTCAACATTATCAAAAGTCACCTAAACGAAAATGATTAGCCAAGTTCAAATAAAAAAACACAAAACAACACTTACATTTTCCAGGACATGCATGCATCGATCAATTTTGACCATTTGACCTTCTTCGTCGTAGTTTTCTGCACACCTAAGTACAGTATCGACGATAAAGTCAATTCCTTTCATTTTGCGAAACTCCACCTTGAACCAGTCACCAGCACGCTTAGATGTTAAGCCAAGCAGGGTTTCCATTGCTAATTTTCCAGCCTAAAAAGATTTTTTAGATAAAAGCAAAACATAAAACAGGCATACAATTTGTCTGATAGGAAAACGTACGGTAATTTCAGTAAGTTTCAGGTATTTTGCATGGCCCTTGTTTTTCATCTCTTCAACTAGCTTTTCTAGTTTGACACGATGCTTCTCTTCGGCTTGATGACACTCATCAGAGCGTGTCTCCAGCAAGTCGAGAATCAGAGAAAGCGCATTTGGATCAATATCCATCGTTAGGCGGTCTTGACTGTAGACAAACATCAAAGTCGCCGTGCAAATAGCCAGATTAGGATCTTGCGGCGCGTCCATCAGAGCTTTAATTATACGAGGCATATCATCATGAGCTCGTAGGTGCATCCTGAACTCGGGTCGCATGGCGTTCTGTGCCAAGCCAATAATGCTACAATGGAAAAATTGGTTAAAAGCATGTTAAAATGGTAAGGGGCGAGCAAGTACAAACCTAAGACAACGCATTGAATTGGTGTTTGTCGCCACAATTCCACTCAGATAGTACTTTATATCTTCGTCAAACTGTTCAGTTTCTCCTAAATCGTGACACTGATGTGCCTTCTTTATTCGCTTCAGCTTAATGAACTGATCTGGGTCTTCATCATTTTCATGGCCGTTCTTCTTGTCAGCATTACTGGAAGTCGCTCCAGCGGGTGGTTGATCCTCCAGATCCATGTCAAACTCATCTTTTACCGCAGAATTAAAGAAACTCTTTGTATTAAATTCCACCTTGCTGCGATCTCGATTTGAGAAAATCTTCTTTTTAGGCTTTGCAGTCACTGACTTGCTTTCTGGCTGAGAATCTGAAAAGGCACTTGGCTGAGAACCACCTACTTCGGATTGAGAAGACATTTCAAAGTCGAGCGCCTGTGAGTCTGCAGATAAGTAATCTTGAGAAGAAACAAACTGATCAGACACTTTTGTTGCCTCTTCAACTGAAACTTCATCTACAAGTTCTTTTTCAACTTCTTCTTTTTCAGTCTCTTCTTCCTTTTCACCTTCACCTTTATCAACATCTTTTTCTTGTTCATCCTTCTCCGCTTCCTCATCTTTCTCATTTTCTACAACCGACTCTAAAGGTTCCATTAAATGATCATTCATTTCGGCAGTATTTCCAGTTTCGCCATTATGCTCATATTCCACTTCCTACAAAAATAAAGAATTTAGTTGCAGTTTGAAATTAATAATGAGATTATAAAATAGCTACACGAACCTCGTCAGAATCAGGATCCTTAGATTCTTCAATCATTGTGGTGAGGGCTTCATTTTCATTATTCGCATTATTTTCCTTTGCAACGTGAGCAAAAATATTGTCGACACTGGCAGCACTTGAAGAGCTTTTGTCATAAACTAAATGAACTGTTTGTGTTTTTCGAATCGACTTGTTCACATGTTCAGGTTCGATTCCTTTGAGTCTTCGTGACGCGCGAACACCTCTGGGCACGGAGAGAACATTTGTCGGAGTAGCCATTGTCGGCTTTACTGTAGCGTTGCGTACATTGGAATTGCGAATGACAAACTGTGTCGTCTTTGTCGGCGATATAACCTTCTTGAATGTTTTGTCGCCGCATATTTTAATTTCACAAGATTTAGTCGGTGATAGGCTGATAGTTGTCGTACCGGCAGTAGGCTGGGAGTATTGGTTTGTTGACTTATCACCTTTACTACTATTACGGTTACTGTGGTTAACTGAATTACGTCCAATTGTAGCGGTGATTCGCTTAACGCCGGCGTCCTTGGAGGTACTGTTTAGAACTACAGCTTTCGTTGTGGCATTGTTGATAGAACTTTTGTTCCCCGGTGAAGAGCTGGCGCCTTCAGGTGCCCGAGATTTAAAGAATTTAAACACTTTTGGTTTAGGAGGTTGTGGCGTTTTGACATCAATCTGCTCCTTTTTGACGTCTGGAGTAGCGCCTTCCTGAACTGTACTTTGAAGAGGAACGAACTTTGTTGTGCCATTCTCATAGTCATTTCGGCGAATCGACGTGAAGGTAGCCTGGCCAAACTTGGTTACGGTTACAGCGGCAGCAGACGTCGTTGAGGAAGCAGCCGAGGCGCCGAATGCACCCGCTGACTTTGGGCCACCGCCTCCACCGGACATCTTGCGCGCGTACGACTTCATCTTGCAAGTGATCAATTGAATGGATGAGCAATGGGAGCGAACACACTTAATCAAGAGAGAGGATGCAGTGCATTGTTCAGATGAGTGGTAGAGCTGTCAACAGAACAATGTGAAATCGATCTGTTAGCGGTTTGAAAGTTGGTATCTGGTACCAGTGGAATACCGATACCACAACACACTAGGGCAGTCGGCTTCAACGAGGCGGCAGAAAAACAACAAACACTGGAGATGATAGGGTGAGCACTGGGGGGAAAGTTGCCCACTTCCCAAAATCTTCTTCAATGGCCGACAGCAAGAGCACACCCGTAGAGGGCGCTAGAGGCATTTCAAAAGAAAAAAAACATTATTTAAAATATTGGACTTGGAAAAGGCAATTTATTGAGGTGTTCTAGTACATCAGATGAATCTTTTTATGTTAGATAAAAATAATGTGTACACCACATAAACGCCTACACCTGCTGCTGCTGTGGCTGAACAAAGGTTCGCAGAGAGCTGATGTATTTCAATTTGGCTTGTAAAACGGCAGAAAGCTCTGAAAACGATTTATTATAGCTCGTAGTAAGCTTCTTCTCCACAGTTGCTTGAAGCTCCTTGTGATTCTGTGAAATTGAAAAAAAAATTGTAAATCATTGTTTTGCAAACAAAAGTAGCATTTACCTCAATATCCAATTCTTTAATTATTCTGAAGCTTGAAGTTACGTCTAAAGCAGTGGATTCCTTGTCGATAAAGGAGACGAGCCGTTTAAGAGTCTCTTCAAGAATGTCCCGACAAGCAGAAAGACGCTCATTGAAGACGGCAAAGACTTGCTCATTCTGAGATGAATCTGCAGTTTTCTTTTTCTTTGACTTTTTAATAGTTTTAGAAATTATCTGTAGAGTGTTAAAAGCAACATCGAGAAGCGATATGCAAATACTTGAAGTCTCAATCCAATTGGTTATATCTTCAAGTGCCTCACGAATGTTGAAAATGGACAGTTTTGACGGTCCACTTTGGAGAGCATCAAGTTTAGCGGTAAATTCGGCGCATTCGTTTGTAAAGTCAAGCGACAACATTGTCAATGCTTCAGTTTCAGTTTTTGAGTGGTACTTAAAAATGCCGACTAAGTAATTTAGCAGTTTAATGATACACTGATATTGTTGATTCTTGAAATATTGATTGATCCTCGAAGGAGCCGGCCCTTCTAGACAGTACTGTTCAATGTTCAAGGGAAAACAAATGGCATAATTATAAAACTTGTCAAAATGTGTAAATGAAATTCTTACCTTGAGACTCGTTTTAATTGCGCTCTTGACCACAGAAGAGAGCTCCCCGATTTGTTTGACCAATTGAGCAAATGAANAAACTTGTCAAAATGTGTAAATGAAATTCTTACCTTGACACTCGTTTTAATTGCGCTCTTGACCACAGAAGAGAGCTCCCCGATTTGTTCGACCAATTGAGATAATGATTCTAGCGACAGTTTATCAATGTCCACCTTTGAAGTGTCAGTAACATTATTTTCATGTTTATCACCTTTCTCTTGCGTAGAATCATCCGACAGCTGTTTCTCAAAAATGTAATTAGCAAGAGCCAAATTTTGCATAAGAGCGAAACGATATCGGAGCCAGAGGATCTCGTCAGTGTTCGTTTTTTCCTTCAAAGTATTAGTGATGTGCAAGTGAAGTTGGTGGTGGTTGCTACTCAAAAGTCCTATGTCTCGATTGTCTGTTAGCTCGCTCCATTCCACGTTGAATTGGCCGTTTAAAATTTGCGTTATACAATCGTTTGCCAGCGTTGAAAAAGAATCCCGACTATAAAANCTACTCAAAAGTCCTATGTCTCGATTGTCTGTTAGCTCGCTCCATTCCACGTTGAATTGGCCGCTTAAAATTTGCGTTATACAATCGTTTGCCAGCGTTGAAAAAGAATCCCGACTATAAAAGAAAAGTTTTGCAAGTATTATAAACCCATCCACACTTTCCTAAAAAATACTTGCTTTTTGCAGTCGACGAGTAAATTCAAAAAGAGTTTTTCAATAAAAGTAAAGCGGTACTGTACAGAGTGGCGAAGTTTGTAATTGAACGAAATGATTTGTTCAATTTTTGTAAAAGCTCCATACTTGTAGAGATTGATAATTAAATCAGAAGCCTAGCAAATTAAAAATTAATTTCGGTTGAACGCTGAGAAATGTCTAGAAAAAGTTACCTCTTTAAAGTGGTACGTGTAGAACTTCGAAGAAGCATTTAAAAACTGTTGAGCGTGAGAGTAAAGGCCAGTGGTGAGAAATGCCGGAAGAAAGAAATGACCCAGAGTGTCATTTTGAATAAGCTTGATATCAAGAGTCTCATAAATGGCGTGACTAGAGGAGGAAGCGCCGAATGAGTTGTACAGACGGACCAGCAGCAGCTTGGAGTAAAAGTCGTAGCTATTGTAGGTCAAGGCAGATTCGAGTAGCACAGAAAGGCTTAAAAGGTTTGAGCTGTTCTTGCTGATGGCGGTTGATTCGTCGTTGTTTGGGCAGTTGAAACTTTCCGAATTGTAGATGTCCAAGCCAGACGAAACTTGGTTGGCTAACAGGTAGACAATGGCATCAAATGGTTGAGTACTTTTGGTAGCCATCTTGTCGCCTGCATTGTTCGTGTCATCTGAGCTTTTATTGGGTTTCGCTTCATCTTCAAGTTTGCGCACAGTTTTGTGTAGACTTATGAGGTTTGCAATTTCACTTGAGCATTCCTGCTGTGAATTGGCGGTCAAGTCGCAGTTGAAGTATTTTAGATAACGATAGCAAAGAGTCCTGTTCACATCTTCAAGAGTAGTCTCTTTGTCTAAGTTGATCAAAGACAAGCTCATTTTGACGAGCAAACTGGTAATCAGTGTTTGCGAAAGTTGCGTCTGCTGAAGCATAAAAATGATGTCCTTGACGCAGACAAATTTTGAGCCAAATTGAAGAAAGTACTCGTAAATTAAATCGACGACGTACTCTGCATTTTTCAAACCTTCAATTTTGTCTACAATTTTGCTGTAATACGAACAGTTGGCCGATGACTCTGTGGTTCCCGAGGCCGCGGTAGTCTGAATGAGGTGGGAAAGAAGGATTTTTGCAATTACAGGTCCTCGAATTTTTCCTTTAGGCAATGCTGAATCATCAGCACCCTCTTCTAAACTGGACTGCCAATTGAGAATCCGATTTCGATTGCACATTTCATCGAGCAAAGCAAAAAACTCCATTGCAAACTTCAAATCCCCCTCTGCTTCGGGCAGTGCATCGAGAGAAGTGGCCAAATGAAACAGTTCACTGTAGTATTCGTACTGGTCACTGTTTTGGCGAATCAGAGCCACCAGTCCAGTAAAAGCTTCATGTAAGCGGCCTTCTCGTTTTAGCAACTGAACTTTTCGGTGCTTTACAAATCCAAGTGCGTCAAACAGAAGTCTCTTCTCTAGCGTTTTGTCAATTACCTCAATCATTTCTTTAAACTTTTGTTGTTTTTCTAAAATCATCAGGTACAGCTCAACTTCCTGCTCAGATTCAAACTTGTTGTCATTGTAAAACTTCTGGCACATCTTTTCCGCCAAAGGAAGTGTGATTTTACTCGCCATTGCCTCATCACTCGCTGTGATAGCTTGCGTGTAGATGCTCATCACTGCCCAAAAGTAGTAGGCATTCTTGGTGTGAACCCTGTACAAGTTGAGCGCCGTGAGCTGTTGTTTCTTGTAATCGCAAACGCGAACATGGGCCATAAAGAGGTGCGTAAACAGTTTCTCGCTGGTGGGATCTTTTTTGAGAGCATTCTCATAGATTGTTGGTATCATTTCAGCTAGAAATTACAGGCATATAATTGGTTAGTCTTTCACTAAAACAGAAAAGTGCAAGGGACATACGTTTGTTCAGATCTCTGAAGCAGATGGTCATTGTTTGAAGAGTAGAATCATCGTATGGCGCATCGTTACAAACGCTATTCAACATTTCAATTCCTTCGTTCTTGCGGTTCATTCGGATACAAGCCAGTGCCTTCAGTACTTTCAGGTACGGCCAGTCTTTGTTCTTCTTAAGCAACTTGTCTATCTCCTGCATTGACTTTTTGTAGTATCCGTTGTCCAAGTAATCTAAATGAGTTAATTACAATTATAGTTGACACTGCGTTTTTAATCATTGTAAGCCTTACCATATATTGGCTTCAACTTGCGCTCATTATGAGCATTGTCTTGAGGACGAGACATGATTTTTCCTCGGTTTTTGGTAACAAAAAGTTTGAAAATAACAAAAACAAAAAGTAGAACAATTTGAATAAGGTTGCTATGAGCTGACAGCCGATCCGGCCGCCCTTACACAAGCTGCAAGTTAAAATTCATCCTAACTGTACAGGTAATTTAGAGCGGGCATCGTACTGAAGAAACTTATCAGATCAGCATTGACCGGCGTGATAAGAAAGTGAAATGAAAAAGTCCACAACAGTGGCAGACAGCGTGCAAGCCGTGTGTAGGTGCGCATCCCATTCGTGTAAGTTGTTACTCACCACTTGAACTTACCAGGATTTATCACCATCCAAAGTGGGCAGTGACCAGCTTTGCATTGAGGATCCGCAACAAAATTAGAGATTTATTGAAAGCATATAAATTGTATATGAAATCAACAATTTAATATAGGCAAACAATTTGATCAACGGTGTATATTTTTTTTAATAAACAAAAAATAATTAATTTCATTGGCAGGTGAATGTTTTGGCAATGTTACAACAGCTATTTCTCAGTGCTCCAGCGATGGTGCAATGATTTCAGATGATGAAAAGCTCGCTGGCTAATGTTAAGCGATGGAAAGACAGGCTGAAGTTGATCCTCGTTAGAGCTTACTTCACTGTAGACACGAAGAGATAGAGCGCTGATACCCATAAAAGTATGCAAAATATCTGTGTGCCGGCAAAAGGTGTTAGTATTTTATTCAATCAAAGCCTACTTTACCTGGATATGTATTTGGATATTTGCAGAAGCCTCCAATCATTATCTCTTGAGCAGAGTCAAGAAACTCAACGTTTTCTTTGTCGTTAATTAAGGGAAACGCTTTTAGCAGAGCGCACGAAGCGCCCACCCAGAAGGAATAACAAGTGTCCGGATCTTTGTAAGGTCTTCCCTGAAAACCAGAGATTTGTCGAAACAGACACCACTTCACAATGTCATTCTTTTCGTGAGCCTCTAAATCGTCCAGCTTTCCCATCAAAAACAATGAAGCAATAGCGCAGAATGTCGGTCCACCATGTGATTCAGTACCAGGGCTTTGGCCAAAGCCATTTTCATAATTCTACACAAAAAGAAAAACGTTAAACAAATAGAACACAACAGAGAAGATAAAAAAGCTTACCTGACAACTCTTGATAAACTGGAACATGGTTTCCTTATTGACGCTTGACCAGTCATCGAGGATATAGCATATGGTCGCAGCGCAATAAGTAATTCGAAGATCATTCTCTTCCTCAATCAGCGCTTGAATAAATCTAAATGCAGATTTGATAAAACTTGTTTTTGTCTCTAACAATCATTGTAACTACCTTCCATCTTCCTTTTGATATTCTTTTAGCCCACGAATAATAGCAGAACGATTAACGCGACTAAGATCGTCACCAAGAATGATTAGAGTTGATAAGGCACAATAAGTCATTGCAAGATTGCAAAAGTCCTGAGAAGACTTGGATCCATTGGTCGGAGATCCTCGAAAGCCAAACTGACCCTCTGAAAACAAAGAATTGATATCAACCAAAACAGTTTTTGCATTTTCGCCTTACCTAGAGTGGGACTGCTTTCACTTGAAGGTTGTAGTTGTTGCAAATAAATCCATTCAATAATTTCTTTCTTTGTTTCATCGGACAAATCATTAAGGTGATTGAGCAAGTCTAATCCAGAAACGGCAAAAAAGAGCAGAGTAATCCTAAAATAAGAATAAAAAACATGTTCAATAAGACAATGATAACAAGTACAAAATCTGTTATGTTGCACACCTGCTAGTATCAAACGGAGCTGAGGATGGCCCCAGTTTATCAAGATGCTTTCGCAGGTAGCGAACATGCTGGTTGATCATGTGGGCAGTTAACATTTCTTCTAGACGACAATAATCTAACTTAATAGACTACAAATTAGAATCCGGCAAGAAAAAGCAGTGACAGCTGATCTGGTTTCGGCTGTGCAAAAAAAGTTCAAATAAACGTGGGAGGAGCTTGAATGAACAGTTTTTACAAGGTAAGCACAGCTACAGGCAGTGCATTTGCACCGCCTTATGCAGGCTTCAGCGGCAAGTGCCTCAGCTACCGCGTGTTGTGTTGTGATTTTGCAACTCAAACTGCTCTGTCGTGTTTTTATCTCCTCATCAACTTTGGTAAATAAACCCAACCCTTTCAGCTCCGATCAAATGGACAGTGACGACGATCTTCAGATGACGTTCTTCAAGAAGAAGAAAAAGAATCATGACGCTGTCAACAATTTCAATGACAATGTTGGCAAAAAGGTCCAGCATCAAAGTGATCAACCGAAGATGATTCATTCAAAGGTTCACAAGAAAAAAGACCGAAAAAACCTTCTTGCTTTTATGTGTAAAGTAAGGTATCAGCTTGTCTTGTTTTGTTTTTATTGACCATTTTTTACACAGGATTGTCAAGAGTATTACGCAACGAGAGATTTAAAGGAAGAAGAGTTGGAAAAACTGATTCAGGATTGTTCACGACACCGAGCTCATGACTTGCCGTACCGTTCTCCTGACCGTTTTTGGGACATTGACTTTCCTGATTCGCAAGAGAAAAAGAAAACGGAAGAAGCTAAAGAATCTACAAGCAAAACTAAGAGTAAAACAAAACGAGCTAAATTATTTGATAACTAATATGAAGATGTGTTCAGTTTTTTGTATTTAATTTTAATTGTGTAACATGCATTAGGTGAACACACAGCTGAAGTTGATGAATTTCATTTATCACTTTGTCTTGACAAATTCAAGCTTCTCAAACGGAAAGTTGATTTTATCTCCACTGATGCTTTTGCCTTCTTCTCCTTCCGTCATTGTCACGTTAACGACGTCCACTACGCTGTTGCACGCTGAGCCACTGACCACCTTTATGACCTCCTTCTGCTTATCATTAAGTTCGACTTCACGAACTCGAGATTTCTCGCCATAGTCACGAAAAGTGATATTCTTGATAAGCTGTTGAACGACTCGGAGATCGTCTTTGGAGCCACGTGTCACCTGGTCTGGTTTCAATGTTTCCATCAGCTTGTAGACCTTCTCCAACATCTCCTGGTTCTTCTTGATCTGCTCAGGAGTGGCATTGCTAGTCGATTTGGCTGTTTCACTTTTGGCTCCTTCCTCTTTTTTGTCATCTTTTGGTGCCTCGGATTTGCCATCCTTATCCTTTTTCTCATCTTTAGTTGAATCGGCTTTTCCATCTTTGCCATCTTCCTTTTTACTTTCATCTTTCTTTGATTCTTCTTTCTTGCTATCTTCTTTTTTACTTTCATCCTTCTTGGATTCTTCTTTCTTGGATTCTTCTTTCTTGCTTTCATCTTTCTTTGACTCTTCCTTCTTACTTTCTTCTTTCTTTGATTCTTCCTTTTTGCTGTTTTTACTATTGTCTTTCTTTTCACTGGCTTTGCTGGTGCTACCTTTTTTACTCACCTGCTTATCTTTCTTAGACATTGTTCGGCAGAGGAGAAATGAGTTGAACAAGTAAGCAGAAGTGTGTGAATAAACGAAAAGGCGTTGTGATACTTTTGTAAACAATAAATAGAATTTCGAAAACTAACTTGACGCTGGAAACATTTGGAACATGCGTTTAACTTGTTTTATCTGTAAGAGACATAAATTACGAGTATTTCCTTGCAATATTTGTCAAGCGAAAAGGTTTCGATGGCTAAAGGCACAAGTTACCGCCTATTCAGTTTGTTAGATAAAATCAGATAAAATAAGATCTAAAAAATGGATTTAAAACAGTTATTTGTAATTGCTTTTGTCTGCCAAATCATATATCACTTGCGATGATAATTTTCTTTCATCTGCGAATTCTCCAAACTGTCATCACCTGAAATGATTGCACTCAGTGACACAAACATTGACAATGACTGACAGCACATAATCTGCTTTTATGCTTTTCAGCTAGTAGTTATCAGGAAGAAATTCCTTTTAGAAAAGGCATCTCCGTAATTGTGCCCAGGGGAAGAAGAGAAGAAAAGTGGACACTAGTTAGATGAAAAAGTAATCAGGAAGCAAAAGCCCTTCATTTGCACTATCGCCAAGCCAAGGATAGCGAAAAGGGGAAGGAATCGGCTTCTAATTGCACAAAGACTTTAGTTGATGAGCATCAGCGAAGTGCTAAGAAAGGGG